CAGCAGGCAGAGCTCGGAGCTTAGGCGTCCCCTCCGACCTGCAGGGGGGTTTCCGTGTTCAGGAGCTGCCCCGCTGGGATGTCCGCATGCCTTTCCCCACAATCCCCTTCACTTGCCTTCAGGGGAGCTTTCTCGTTGGAAGGGAAACCGCAGTCTCATTTTTGAGGCTCTTGTCCTCTTGAAGAAGCAAAGGGCATGGAGTCTAGTGGCATCACTTCCCAAGCAGGTGCTCGCCCGCTCTCCGCCCGCCCCACGTCCACGCCCTGCACTGCAGGCCTGGTTTTCTTGGGAAACTGTTGCAGAGTGAGGCTCGCTCCTGGCGCATCACCACATGATTTTTCACTTGGTGAGGACCGAGCTCAGAGGCTTGTAGCCTTCTCCTCCCTCGCTGGGTCCCTGGAGCGCAGACCCGAGCCCAGGTGTGTGGCGGCAGCTGGAAACGCAGGTGTGATGCGCCTTTAAACAAACACGGTCGGGAAGGCCCGAGCCACGTGCCACGCTTTCGGATTGACATGAGCCCGTGGGCACATGTGCCCATCGTCTTTCAAAAACCACCTGCCTCTCTCCGGGAAGAAGTGAAGTTGTGTTACGGAAAGGAAACGTCCAGCCCAGGAATTTTAAGATTCGCCTCAAAGGGAAAGGCAGGGAATACCGCTGAGAGACACTGCCAATGAGAAAAAACTGAGTTGTAAGGACGAACATAAACGACATCCTCTAACTTTCCTCCTTGCTTCCCGGCAATGCGGCGGGAAATGAGACCTAAGTCGGAGCTCTCAGTGTTACGGGGAGGCAGCGCGCTGGGGCCACCTCAGAGGGAACCCTCTCCTTGGGGCCTGCGCGTGGCCCCGGGCCGGGGAGGAAGGTGACTGCTGGCCCAAAGCCCTTTTGGCTTCTACCCTTCAGAGTCTGATTTCATTTCGAATTTCCTTTCAGTGATGCAGAAATTTGAGAAGGTTCCGGAATCGAAGGTGGTCTTCGACACCGAGGTTGCCGCAGGAGTCAGGTCCCAAGCTCCTGGCTCTGAGTTCCCCCTGGCGCAGTGCCTGGCAGGTGAGGGGGCGGGGATGGGGCACCTGGAGAATGGGTGGAAGCCGGCTCTGCCGATCTCTGATCTCGCAAGACAAATCGGACAGAACCGCTAAAACGAGCATGAAAACATACACTTTAGCCCAAACACGTTGGAGTCCATTGATCCCCCCAACGTGCATTTAGCTCATCATTTCCCTGAAGAGTGCATAGGGCATCTACTATGTGCCAAGCACAGTGGGATGCCAAAGGTTAGGGGGCAGAAATGAAGGGCACTAGCTCCTTATAGAACTATGTGTCCAGGTTGGGTGACACATTTGTCTATTTTATTTTATTTATTTTTAAAATATAATTGTATTGATTTCAGAGAGGAAGGGAGAGGGCCAGAAAGATAGAAACATTGGTGAGAGAGGAAGATCATTGATTGGCTGCCTCCCGCACACCCCACACTGGGTATTAAGCCCATAGCCCGGCATGTGCCCTGCCCGGGAATCGAACCGTGACCTCCTGGTTCATAGATTGACACTCAACCACTGAGCCACGCTGGCTTGGCCACATTTGTCTATTTTAACAGCGAGACCAAAGAGGGGTAATAACAGCTACCATTTATTTACTGGGCATGGGTCTGTATGAGGATTATTTCATAATCCTGCCAGCATTCGTGAACAGTCATTGTTGTCCGATGCTGCAGGTGCATGTGTGTGTGTGTGTGAGTGTGTGTGTGTGTGTGTGAGTGTGTGTGTGTGAGTGTGTGTGCGAGTGCGAGTGTGTGAGCACATGTGTGTGTGCGCGCGCGCGTGTGTGTGAGTGTGTGTGTGAGTGTGTGTATTTGGGTGTGCTGGGGGCAGGGTGTCCGTCCGTCCTCAGCAGCACCTGGGAGGGACATGCACTGACGGCCCGTGGTGCCTGCAGGCTGTGCCGTGGATCCGGCCTGCAGCTTCCTCACAGTGTCCACGGTGGGGTCAGACGTCTCCTGTGACTTCTATGCTTGGACAAGTGACAGCATCGCCTGCACAGCTTCTGATCAGGTGAGTCCTGGCCGCCACGTGGCCTCTCGGCCTCTCGTCCATCCGTCTGTCTGTCAGACACACCCGGTGAAACCCACACCGGGCTGATTAGGTGATGGGATGACAGCGTCCATGGCCAATCCCTTGTTCCTCTGTCTCTTCAGAGTGATGAGACATTGGGAAATGGAGGTGGATAGAACTGCTTCTGGTGGAGCTGCCACAAAGGGTGTTCCTCTGAGCAGCATCGTGTCCTGACCCAAGAGGCAGAAGAGAATGTCGATGCCAAGCCCCCTCCTGTTCCCCACCAGCTTACTCACCGGGCAGGCTGGCACGGCATGCCCCTGGCCCCTGTCCAGAGCCCTCTGTCCCTTGGAGTCCTGGACCCTGGCATTCCTTTCCATTGGGACAGTAAAGCGTGACTGTGGCTTACAAAGAGGAAAGTTAAATCTTAGACCCCGTGAAACAGCGGTTTCTGTAGGTGAGAGCTGATCGAGTGTTGGCAATGCCATTGTTACCATGGGTGAGGGCAGAAGGGTGTGCAGGGAAGCCCCCCTCTGTCTCCTAACCACTCCTGCCTCCTCACACAGGCAGCCCTGCATTACCCTCTCCAGCTCCTGTGGATCCGGCCAGAAATTTCCTGTGTTTATAAGCATCTTTGTTCACATGCTAACATTTTATAATACATATTTTTTCCCCTGTACTTTAATAATTAACCTTGTTATTTTTTAAAAAATATATTTTTATTGATTTCTGAGAGGAAGAGAGAGGGAGAGAGAGATAAAAACATCAATGATGAGAGAGAATCATTGATTGGCTGCCTCCTGCATGCCCCACACTGGGGATTGAGCCCACAACCCGGGCATGTGCCCTTGACTGGATTCGAACTAGGGACCTTCAGTCTGTAGGCTGACACTCTATCCACTGAGCCAAACCAGCTAGGGCAGTGTAGGGAGCGGCTAGAGGATTAAGCCTCAGGCTGACCTTTGGCAGGGCCACAAACAAGTCCCAGCCTGGAGGGCAGAGCTCTCCTAGCATAATTAAGCCTTACCTTGTAGCCCTCCCAAATTCCTTCCTAAGTAGCTATGGCTGTGGGACGAGCATCAAGTGTTGCCAAAACAAGAACATTTGTATACATTTTAATCTACCTTTGTTTTAATGAGACTATAAAATAAAGCATCGGCTTGCAGGCTGGGTCTTTCTGTGTCCTCATCCAGGCGTGGGAGATCCACCCAGCCCCAGCTGTATTCTCTTTGTCTGTCTTCTTTAATCCTTCACCGCCCCTCCTCAGGCTCACCCTTGGCCATGCTGGCTCAGCACAGGGCGGTAGTTAGGCTTTGATATCTGTCTGTGGACTGGCTGTCACGGGATGATAATGCAGCCTCTTTCATCTCCAGGGTCAAGGCGCTGCGGGGAACGCCGAGGCCACCGGCTTTGGAAGTCTCAGGTGCCAGGTGAAGGTGCCGCCCAGGGACCAGGGCTCTGTGGCTGTGTATCTGAAGAAGGGTGAGTGAGGCCGGACGGGTGGCCCCAGACTGCTTTCCAGCAGGTGCGTTCGGGGGGGCCAGACTGCCCCCACACTCCGTGCAGGAGCCCCACTTCCCTCCCTCGGTCCTTTGCTTCTCGGGCAGACATGTCATAGCTGAGCATCTCAGACAGGCACCTGCTGAGGACTTGCCATGCCATTTCCTTTCTCACCCTCACCTGAGGGCATTTTCCCCATTGATTTTTAGAGAGAGTGGAAGGGAGAGGACGAGACAGAGAGAAACACCGATGTGAGAGAGACACAGTGATTGGTTGCCTCCCACTGCCGCTGACCTTTGAACGAACCGGTTTCCAAAACATGCTCTCGGGGATGTACATGCCGGGAGCCTGCAACCGAGCTATGTGCCCTTGACCGGAAGTGAACCCAGGACCCTTCAGTCCACAGACCGACACTCTACCCCCTAAGCCAAGCTGGCTCAGGAGACATGTCGTTTTCATTCACACCCTCATGTCTGGTCCTCAGCAAAGGCCTGTGAGGACTGGGAGGGTCATTCCCCAGGCGAGTAACTGAAGCGCAGAGCAGATGCAAAGGCTGTGGGCAGAACCCACGGAGTCCAGACTGTGTGCCCCACCCAGCCCCCGAGGCTGCCTGTGATGTGGGGGCATCTGGGCTGCGGGCTCCTGCAGTTGCCTGTCCTGGGCCTTCCCACCCATGGAGCTTCACTCACCCCCCCTCAATCCCCTCAGTCCCCTCCCCCACTCTCGTCCCTTTCATCTCTGCCCTCCCGGGAAGTCATCATCCCACTGGCTGGGGACCAGAAGACAGCCACGGGCACCGGAGCAGGGACGGGCAGGATGAAGAGTGGCAGGCGTGCTATACTCATAGGTCCGTAACGCAGGGCAGGTGGCCTGGCTCCCAGCTTCAGACCTGGGCTGCAGACAGCTTGCAGCGTGTGGGGACGGGGCCACGCCCAGGCCCAGAGCCTCGTCTGACCTCGGTCCTCAGCAGGGACAGCGTCAGTGTCTCCTGTCTCCAGTCCTTCTCCCACCGCTGCCTCCGTCCTGCTCGATGAGGCTCCCTGGGGGCCTGGCGCCCCCAGAGCTCGGGCTTCTCTGATCCACCGCCAGGGTTACCAGACTTTCTGCCCAGTGTTTATCCCAATTATATTCACTGTTCATCTTAAAAATAGCAGAGCAGGGAGGTTATTTGCTAAAAAGAAAATGAACAAATACAACAAGTAGCCCCTCCCAAAAAGTCAATTTAAAACGGTTCCGTGGCCTTGTATACAGTTTTTAAAAATGAATTCTATTTCTTGTGAAGTGCTGGCTATATTTTTTCTCCTCCTCCTCTCCTGGAAGTTTAGACTTTGGGGGAAATTGCAAAGGAAATTGTGGTGTTTCCTCGCTGCCAAACCAATCAAGGGCAGACTCCTTTTTTTTTTTTTTTGGTCTTGTTTGACTTTTTAAGACATTTTTATTTTTAAGCAGCAAATGCAGAGAGCCAGAGGGGGGAGGCGGTAACCGGGGCCTGGCTGCAGAGCACTGCTCTGGTCAGGACGGGCCTTGCACTCCACCTTCTGTAAAAGGGGAAGGGACTGTCCCAGCCGTGGGAGAGCACACATTTCGGAGCGTCTCGCACAGTCTGTGGCACCGACGAGGCGGACAAGCACACGCGCTTGCACGCCCGAGCGTGTGTGACCGGGAAGAGGGACAGCCTGACGGGGGTTCGGAACACCCTCCGTCCACACCCACCTTACGTCTGCAGCCGTGAGCCTGGAGGAGAGGCTGTGGGGTTTTCAGAATCAGAAGACGGTGCTCAAAGGTTCCCTGGAGACTGTGTGGCCCAAGCCCCCCATTCACGGTTGAGGTCAAGAAAGAGGAAGCGTCCAGTGGAACCCGGGACCTCAGGGCAGGATCTCCCCATCTCTTAAAGGCCACCCACACCTGCTCCATTGTCTGGGACGGGACCATCGCGGGGTCCCCTTGGCACTGGCACCCACAGCAGGATACCCACTTGGCAGGCACTGTGGATGCAGCTGTAAACAGCACAGATGGAATGGCTGATTGATAAAGAGATTGATCCAGATGCCCTAGCTGGTTTGGCTCAGTGGATAGAGCATTGGCCTGGGGACTGAAGGGTCCCAGGTTCCATTTCGGTCAAGGGCACGTGCCCTGGTTGTGGACTCGATCCCCAGTGTGGAGCACGCAAGAGGCAGCTGATGAATGATTCTCCCTCATAATTGATGTTTCTATCTTTCCCTCTTCCTTCCTCTCTGAAATCAATAATAAAAATATATTTTAAGACATAATAGCAGGCCTAGTCGACTTGGCTCAGTGGATAGAGCATCAGCCCGCAGACTGAAGGGTCCTGGGTCCATTTTGGTTAACAGCATGTGCCTCAGTTGCAGGCTCCATCCCCAGCCCTGGTTGGGGCACAGGCAGGAGACAAGCAATCAATGTGTCTCTCTCTCTGTCTCTCCCCTCCCTTCCACTCTCTACGAATCAATGGAAGAATATCCTCAGGTGAGGATTAACAATAATAATAAACAAACAAAGAAAAAATGATAAGCAAACGTCAGCTCTCCACACACCGCCGTTAGACCCGCAAGGTGTCATGGTGCTTGTCCTGGTCTGTGGGCGCCACGGCCACCTCCCTGCACAGGCACATCTGACCTTTCATGGCACAGAGAGGGTCAGACCACATGCTGCCACCATCGGCCAGTGAACCCTGGTCAACTCTGCATTGTTTTAAACATTAAAAAAAAAAATGTTCCGCCTCTTCCCCAGGCCAAGAATTCAGCACAAGAAGTCGGAAAAGCTTTGAACGAACCGGTTTCCAAAACGCGCTCTCGGGGATGTACAGCCCCGCCGTGTTCGCGGGCCTGGGGTCCAGTCTGACGGAGGCGCACCTCTTCTGCCTCCGCGCGTGTGACGCGGATGCATGCTGCGATGGCTTCATCCTCACGCAGGTCCAAGGAGGTAATACCGACGGCCACCGTGGTCTCCAGAGGACGGGGAGTGCGTGGGGTCAACAGTCTCCACAGGGAGGGATAGTATTCACCCTAAACGGCTGCTTCTGCATCAATCCCGTCTCCAGGAAGAGCGAGAACCCACTGAATTCCTCACCAACCGCCCTTCCCTCCTTCGTCACTCCCACTCTTGCTGCTGCTTTCTTACTGTATTTGGCAAGGACACTAATTCCATCCTCACCTCTGCTGTCCGTCATCGGACTGTATTAGGTTTTGTTTTGTTTTGCTTTTTGCCAGTTGTGCCAGTCTCCTCATTGCTCTCTCCCCCCAACCCCAGTGCTAGGTTCCCCTCCCTCAAAATCAGTCTGTACAGCTCTCAGCCCTACTCAGGCTTTCTCCTCCTGAAATGTGAGCTTGTCTTTTTTTTTTTTTTTTTTTGCATCCAAGCTCGCATGTGCATGTCTTTGGTGGATTAAAACATTGACACGATAAGATAGCCTTATATCCTCGACCCCTGGGAGGGGACTGGAAATGCTGAGTTTACCTCCCAGCGACCAGTAGTGGCTCAAAGGAGAATGTTTGCTGGAGTGGCAGGGCAGGAATCTGGCTCAGAGTAAGTCCAACCCTAAAGTCCCTAGTAGGTGCAATGCTCTGTGGTTATATGATGTGCATTCATGTTAGTGTTTAGATAAGCAAAAGATAAATAGATAAATGATAGATGATAGATTGATACATAGATGGATAGATAGATGATAGATACATAGACAAAGAGGTGATGGATAGATGATAACAGACACAAGATAAATAGGTAGATACACACATGTACACATGATCACACACATGTATATAGCATGTCTTTATGGGCACATATTTAGAGACACGGCATCCCAGGCTGGGAAGCCCCTGCCTTCTCTGGCCTGCGTGTCTTTTCTGAGGACCCCGCTCCCCAGACTCAGTTGCTCACAGACCGTGTGATCTCCAGCTGGAAAGGCTGACCTCACTTTCCGGAGGAGCCCATGTGGAGGAGTGATTTGTTCCAGGAGCGGGGAGCCCGCAAACCCTTTTCCATGTGCTCTGGCCGGCGGCCTGCTTGCTGCTCCCGCCCAGTGTCACCTGGGATCCGTGACTTGTGGGGAAGCTATGCTCTCTTGGAGACAGACACGAAACCCAGGCCGATGGCTTCCCAGTCTCGTCCAGCGGCCAGATGTGGGGCTGTGACTGTAAAGCGTTGGCTGGACCTACTGATGGCCAGGAACAGAACCCGATCCGTCCTTGCCCCAGTCTGCAAAGTCACTTAACTTGTGGGTGGACCCGTCCAGCCCAGCGACACTGAAGCCTCCTCCCACCTCCAACCCTCAATGGCTTCATTTCCCCTGATCGTTACTAATGAAAATTCACGGTGCTTCCAGACCTGCATTTCAGCAAGGCAACTTGGGGGTGGGGTTCAGAGGGACTCCGAGGCCCCAGGTTCACGCGAGCGCAATGGAAACTGGCGATGTGCTCAGCAAGGTGACCTCTGACCTCTGGCCCCACCTCTGAGACACTTGGAGTTCTCATTGATACTCTTATCAGAGGTGGGGATCCTTTTTCCTGCCAAAGGCCACTTGGATATTTATAACATCATGGGCCATACAAAATTATCAACTTAAAAATTAGCCTGCTGTATTGGGCCAAATACTTAAAAAAATATTTTTATTGATTTCAGAGAAGAAAGGAGAGGGAGAGAGAGATGGGAAAATCAATGATGAGAGAGAGAGTCATTGACTGGCTGCCTCCTGCATGCCCCACACTGGGGATGGAGCCTGCAATCCGGGCCTGTGCCCTGACCAGGAATCGAACTGCAACCTCCTGGTTCACAGGTTGATGCTCAACCACTGAGCGCCGGCCGGGTTGGACCAAACATTTAATTAACTCACCCTTAATGCCTCGGCAGGTCCAGACCAAATGGTATCTCGGGCCTCATATGGCCTGTGGGCCGGATGTTCCCCACCCCTGGGAGTCTGGCACCTAGAGAAACAAGCAGCACGGGGTCTCTCCTGAGGCCAGAGAGCAGAAGGAAAGACACACGTGCCCCCTCTTGATTCCTTATCTGTTGTTTGACTGGTGAGAGGGACAGTGAGGTGGGCAGACATCCTCCAAGCTCTTCCTGCCCAGCCCTTGGGAGTGTGCCAGTAAAGACAATGGCATGGCCACCAGGGAAGAATAACCCAATTTAATACCAGGCTTCTGAGTGCCAGCTCCCTGTCCGCCTGCAGAATTGTGCCCTGGCTTCTCCTGAGGCCTTTCAGGCACAGAGGCCAGGCCAGTCTCTAAAGGGGCCCCTTCCCATCACACCAACCGCTCTCCTCTCCTGACCCCACAGGTCCCATCATCTGTGCCCTGCTGAGCTCCCCCGACGTCCTGCTCTGCCATGCCCAAGACTGGAGGGACCCCTCCACAGCCACGGCGAATGCTACGTGTCCCGGGGCGACACCCGGCCAGGGCAGCCGCCCGGGGACACTGCTCCTGGGCGGCCAGGAGTTCCAGGGTAAGTTGCCTCCTGCCCACGTTCCTTCAGGACTAGAGTCTTCCCCAGCAAGGTTTGCTGCTGCTCTCGTAGGAGCCCCTCCCGACCCCGAGGAACTCGTGCTTCTGCTAAGGAGCTGGACCCGAAATGCCATAGACACACGCAGGGCCTGGCGGCCGCTCTCCACAGAAGCGGTGATGCAGCTCTTCAGGCTGCCGGTGGGCCGAGCGAGGCAGGCTCAGCGGGCGGCTCTGCGGGTCTCAGCCGGGCTCACTCGGCATCTGGGGTCCGTGGCAGTTGGCTGGTCTGGTCGTGGTTGGGGGGGCCTGGCCCTGCTCTATGGCCCCCTCGTCCCTCTCCTGTAGACGTCAGGAAGGGAAGGACCAGGAACCACAAGAGGTTGAGGCTTGGGCCTGACAGTCACCTCTGAGGGCACATGGCTGACGGGCGTCCAGGCGCGGGAAGACCCACATGGCCTCTGGTGGCCGGAACCTCACAGTCTGGGCAAAATGGGTGACTGCGGAGGAGTGAAGCCCTGCAGGCAAAAATGCCATCTGTCCCCATTCTACAGCTGAAGAAAATGAGGTGCACAGATGTGAGGGCTTCCCATGCCCTCGGGGCTTGTAGACAGAGGGCTGGGATCTGAATTAGCACTTGAAGGCCGTATGGAGTGTTTGACACACGGTAATGACATTAGGGGATATGCGAATCCTTCTAAAACCCTGCCGTTGTTTTCTGGGATGCTTTAAAAGCTGGATTGTGTCTTATTAATGTTTGGTTTTACACCGTCGAGCGTACAACCCAGCCCCGCATATCCGTGGGGTGCGCCTTTCCCAAAGCCTGGAGGAAAGATCCCCGAATTGGGTGGAATTCCACGACGCTTAGTTTCTTCTGGGGGTGAATAAAACCCAGCAGCTCATTTATGTGACGGATCCTAGGCATATGGTATCGATTATTCCGTCAGGCAGCCCAGGATGGAAAGGAGCATTTGAAGAGAGACGTGGGATATATTCATGGGCAGTAAATCCACAGTGAATTGCTTAACACGGAGCATGTGCTTGGTATGTGCCCAGAAGCGAAGAATGTGTCCTTGTCTGGCCTCCTGGGGGGGACTGGTGACCCAAGGACTTTTGGAGTCTGGGGTTTTGGAGTTGATGTGCGTGCATATTTGGGGTGCAGTCAGAACTTTAAGAAGATGTCCTTTGATGGGGATCTCAGGCAGCCTGAGGCATAGTCATGATGTTCCAAACTGGAGGTTGGAGCTACCAGCATAGTCTACTTCAAGATTTAAAGGGCTTCCCATCTGGTGAGGCTCAGTGGTTGAGCGTTGACCCATGAACCAGGAGGTCAAGGTTCAATTCCCGGTTGAGGCACATGCCTGGGTTGCAGGGCTTGAACCCTGGTGAGAGGCCTGTAGGGTGCAGCCGATCGATGATTCTCTCTCATCATTGATGTTTCTCTCTCTCCCTCTCCCGTTGGGTGTGAGTTGCAGAGATGAGCTTCGAGGTGTGTGAACAGCCATGAGGAGGGGGTTGTGGGGCTCGTGCACCTACCCGTTTCTGTTTAAGCTTTGTGCCTGGGTTGACCTGGGCCTCAGGTAGGAACCCTCGCCGGGTCTGCATCTCTTCCGTTTCCAGGGGGCATGTCTGGACGTTTTCAACTATCAGGTGTTGGAGGCCTTGATCTTCCTATTTCCAAGAAAGATGGCTTAGACAGCTCTGGGACGGCATATGTCTCATTCCTGACAAAGGCCTGGCGTGTAAAGGAATGAAAAACAGGCCGATTCTAGTCCCCCACTGCCCACGGCGACTGGAAGCTCAATGGGAAAGACAGGCCTTGGCAGCAGCGCCCCAGGTTCGCTGGGAATTTCAAAGGCTTCCTGTGGTTGAGCGATGGCGGGCCTCGGGCAGATGGCTGGTGCTCCCCGCACAGGGTCTGCTTTGCATCAGCGACTGTCATTATCTCGGGCGCTGGGAGCTCGGCGGAGAGACTTACCATCGTCCCCGATCATTGTCACCAGATGCCCCCGGAGCAGATGTCGGATGGGTGCCTACAAACAGGACGCCCCGTTGGCTCTTTACAATGTCGTTGATTGCATGCCACTGTGTGCTTAGCACTAAGTGGACTCAGGACAAGGCTGATCTGGGAAGGTCAAGAAATACATGAGAGACCTGGGGAAGTGCTGCAGGGAGGAGAAGGCAGCCGGGGAAAGGTGCACTCTGACCCCTGGGGAGTCTGGCCTGGCGTCCTGTCCAGCCCGGGACTGTGGATTCCATAGCCACGCAGATGCGGCACGTGACCTCCACAGAGGGCAATTAAGACCACACAGCCCCCATCAACCCTCAGGAGCCAGGCTCCATGCCAAACCCCAAAGCCCTAAACATATCCGGGAGCCTGCAGCCCCGACTACGGAGCCAGTGCTGATGACTCAGAGTCGGCAGGCCTGTCTGTGGGACAGGGACGTCCTAACCCAGCCGTCGTGGAAAGAATGCAAGGATGTCTGGACAGGCAAAGCTGTCCACCTGAAGTATCGCTCAGCAGGGGGCATGGGATGGTGGTTGTTTGGGTCCTAGGTGCCCTCTCACGATCAGTGACATCAAACCAGGGACATGTGGGGCATGGAGGGAAGGTCTTCACTCAGGAAATGAATTTGGTGGCGGATGGACTTGGGCCCTACGTTTACTCAGTGGCTCCGAGTGTCATTGATGGCCTTGTTGTCCTCATTTGTCCCTCCTCGCCGGCATCTGTGTACTGAACACCAGTTCTCCACAGGGATTGTGGCGGTGGGGATATAAGAAGGAGTCAAACCCAGCTCCCAACCTCAGGCAGCTCTAGTGATTCAAGGAGCCGGACAGTCATGGTCAAGTGTGAGCTTAAAAAGGGGGGCGCTTGGTTAGTGCTGTGCAAATCCAGACGGTGCTGCAGACTGGGATGCTTAAGGCATGAGTAGCCCGGGGGGGGGCGGGGGTGCCCTGAACAGGAGACCAGGGGTCTGACAGCTCTGGTTTGGGGATCCAAAGGCTGGAAGAGACTCCAAGAAGCTTTTAGGGGTGCACCTGTGTGGCGGGAGAGGCCAGTGTGCGGGAAGCGAGGCAGTGTGGTCTAGTGGTTCCCCCGTGAGAGCAAGCCCACTCCAGCTCATAGAAATAACCATCTTCCTTTGCAGGCCCGGACCCCCGGGAAGGGACTCAGGGCCCCCTGACCAGTTTCCAGCAGGTCTATCTCTGGAAAGGTAAGCTCTGCGGGAGCCTGCCCGGCCCTGGCCCTCACTCTTGGGGCACACTGCTCTTGGTTGAGCATTGACCCATGAACCAGGAAGTCACCAGTTTGATTCCCAGTTAGGGTTCAGGCCTGGGTGTGGGCTTGGTGGTGGTGGTGGTGGGGGGGCGGGGGTGCCCTGAACAGGAGACCAGTGGTCTGACAGCTCTGATTTGGGGATCCAAAGGCTGGAAGAGACTCCAAGGAGCTTTTAGGGGTGCACCTGTGTGGCGGGAGAGGCCAGTGTGCGGGAAGCGAGGCAGTGTGGTCTAGTGGTTCCCCCGTGAGAGCAAGCCCACTCCAGCTCATAGAAATAACCATCTTCCTTTGCAGGCCCGGACCCCCGGGAAGGGACTCAGGGCCCCCTGACCAGTTTCCAGCAGGTCTATCTCTGGAAAGGTAAGCTCTGCGTGGGGGAGTGGTTAGGACACTGGTGACGGGAGCCTGCCCGGCCCTGGCCCTCACTCCTGGGGCACACTGCTCTCCCGGGGGAGACGGCAGAGATTTTCTTTCCAAGCTTGTGCTCTGTGTGGACTAGCAGGGCCTCAACTCTCATCAGATAAGACACCAAAGTCTGAAAGAAAAAGAGCAAGTGTGGAACCCAAGAAAGGAGGGAGGAAGGAAGGACTGGCTCCCGTGAGACCAAGTGCGCTGGCCACGGGCGCCCTTGTTCCTGGGATGGGAGCTCTGATGGCAAGGCCAACTACGGGGAGGGGGTGGGGTTTCTCCCGGGGGACTTGGCCACGGGTGCCTCGCTCCCTGAGGGCAGGGGGAAGGGATAAGGCCCCCGGGGTGGTGCATGGACTCCCGCCACGGTGGATGCACAGAGCAGGGGGCAGGGAATGAGGAGGCTCACATACCTGCACGTTCAGCATCGCCTTCCTGTGTGTCTGGCCTCCTTTGAGTTTCCTGAACGTTGGCCGAGTGCCTACTCAGAGCAGGGACTGTGAGGGCATGTGGACTATGGGATGGGAGAGATGGGCGGGGCACAGCCTTGACCTGTGAGGCCGTCCAGTCTCAGGAGGGAGCAGGCAAGAAGTGGACCGTTGCCTGTCATGGCTGCAGGAGCTGGTGAGAGGCACGAAGAGAAGATCCCAGCCCCTGAATCCCTTCCCTCCTCTCCCACCATCCCTCCCTCCTGATCTCTAGTGAGAGAGAGAGAGCGAGAGAGAGAGAGAGAGAGAGAGAGCGGGGTCTTTATTGAGAGAGAGAGAGCGAGAGAGAGAGAGAGAGAGAGAGAGCTGGCGACCTCTTCCTGTGCTTGTGAAATGGTGTGAAAGAGGCAGAGTGTGGGCCTGGAGTGGCTGGGGTTGAATTCTGCTTCCATTACTTACTGCCCATGTGACCTTGAACACACATCAATTATCCCCTTCAGCCCAGACCCTCCGTGGGTAATGCAGCAATAGAAATAGTACTTGCCCCGTAGAGTGTTGTGGGCATTGGCAAGACAATACATGTAAAGGGCTTAGAACCGTGCCCAGCTCATGATAAATGCTGATTCATGTAGGCGGTGGTGGTGGTGATGGATGGGGGAAGAGCAGGAGGAAGGAGGAGGAAGAGGAAGAGAGGGAGGGGGGAGGAAGAGGAAAAAAAGTACCCATCATCATCATCATCATCTTCATTTTAAAATGGTATGATGAGGGTATACACTCCCTCTCTCATTTAGTCTTACCTATAAGGTTAATATACAGGCGGGGGGAGGGGGGACATATTTGTTCAGTTTTCCAGACAAGAAAAATGAGACTTAGAGCAGTTGAGTGAAATGTCCACAGGAGTCCTGGGGTGGGACCCAGACACTGGTCCCAAGTTCAGTGCCTCCCAGTTCTCAGAAAGTCCCGATAAAGGAGGAATTAGCTGGTAGAAAATGAAGAGATGGCATCTCCATGGGCTATTTCCCACACTAAAACAGGAACACCCCAAACTGCCCAGCACCCCATCCTCCCCACGCTCACGCTGCTGTCACGGTGACCTGGTCCCAGCTGGGGCATTTAATTTCTTGACTTTCCATTGATGTACTTGCCACGCACACGGGCTAAGTTATTTCATCGATAGGAGTCTCCGTTTCCTCGAGTGAACTGGAAATCTTACTCCTTACTTCACAGGGATTGTAAAGGTCAATATTTATGAACATGTTTCATCAACCTGAAAGGGTTTATAAATGTTACTAATTTCAACAGCAAGGACAGTCATAGTTCTGCTTCTGAGCGGTTGGCTGACATTCCACAGAAGGCCAAAGAATGCAGACCTGCTCCCCGAAATTACCCCAGGTCATGTGTTGGGCACCGGGCTGCAGACCGTGACGACCTCTCACATGGCCGCCTTATTGGCCTCCTCCTGCCTCCAACATTGGAACAACGATTCTTTTTCTACTCCTAGATTCTGACATGGGGTCTCGGTCCGAGTCCACGGGCTGTAGAAGGGACTTGGGACCAATGTCAGCACCTCCACCGGAAGCAGGTACCAACTCCAAACCTTTTCGATCAACGTGGGCGTCTGGCTGTGGAGACAAGATGGGGATGGGAAGGGGCTAAGCCATGAGTGGACCATTCACGTGGCTCCGTTCTGCAGCCGGGACTCCCTCTGAGCTTCTAGCCCAGCTGAGACGGGAGAACCAGCAGAGCTTTGTCTATGACTTGGAATCCCTCCCAGGTCTTGGGGGGCAGCTCCCCTCCAGGTGGGTGTGGAAAGGGGTCCTTCTTCTTGGAGTCACGTGATAGCTCTGTGGCTTGTAGGCGTGGCCCTGGCTCAGAGTATGATGGTGGATTTTAGAGAACCTTCTCAAGTGCCACAAAATCATTCACACTGACGTTGCCACGAGCCCTGTGTCCACAGGGCTCACTCAGGCTGAGCGCATATACTGGGTCTCACGGGCCGCGCACAGACGAGGAGTCCCATGTGCCAGCCACCACATGGCAGTGTGACCAGGGCTGCGGTGGGGACAGGGAAAGTGGGAGTGCAGAGGAGGGAGGACACTAGGTGACCTGCAGGAGTCAGGACCTCCGAGCAGCCTGGCAGGGTCTGCCAGACAGTTCCAGGCCACCTGGGAGACCATGTTCCAGGTCAGGGAGCAGCTTGTGCAGAGGCCTGGAGGATAGCGCAAGGGTGAAGGAACTTGGGGCGTGCCTTCTGGTGCTTTCGGGCCCCCTGTCTTGCTATCCTTCCTTCCTCGCTGTCTGTGCTCCTACCTGTGCCAGGCCCAGTGCAGTGGGGGAGGGCATGCAAACTGACCCTGAGACACTAACATGAGATGCAGCACCTCACATGGCTGGGGTCCCAGAGTGGAGGATGGCCAGCTGGCCCTTGGTGTCTGCTGGCTCTAGACTTCCGGCCTTGGCAGACCCCCATAAACCTTTTATCCTCCTTGAGAGATTGTTGCTGGTAAGGAAGCCCCAAGGCAAAGTTGGGGTTTATGTGGGATGCAGTGCCCTTAGGTCAGAGCCGCGGGCTAAGGAACATTGTAAATGTGCCCTGGCTCATCTCCATCACCTGCTTCATGCAAAGTCAGACCCACATGAGGTGCAGATATGCCCCCCTCCTGGGTCTGGATGTGGGGTCCCTCAGCCCTGGAGAACCTGCTTATAGAGCCATCAGCATCAGAGCAGGAGGGGACAGTGTGGGTCCCTGAAGCAAGGGGAGCAGCAGGTAGGGGAGAAAGCAGGGTCTACATGCAGGCGGTGCAGCCAGCAGCATGGTGGTGAGCGAGGACCAGTGTCTGCATGCTTCCCCGGGTGAGTTCAGACACCCGGAGGTGCAGCCAAGATGCAGGTAGAGCCTGGACAAGAAGAAAGCTTGGGCTTCCGTTCTCAGGAAGTGGGGTGCCCAGGAGGAGCCTTCAGCCGGGGATCACAAGGTCTGAAGCCAAAGGAGAGATGGGGGCACGGATAAGCTGGAACTCCCAGGGTTGGGCTGAGGGGAGCTGACAGCTGGCCTCACATGACAGCCGCCTCTGGGAGAAAGCGGGGACTTCCCCGGGGCTTCGGAAGACAGCAGGGGCGTCAGTGCCTCAAAGTTACGGAGTCAGCTTGGACGCCACAGCTGCCTAAGGATGGGGCGGCTGCTGTGGTCGGCACAAATGTGGGACCCCAGCTTCAGGGGCAGCGGCCAGAAATAGCCGCGGAAAGTCCCGCCTTGGGGGAAAGTTGAACCAGAAGGCTCCCAAGGTTTCTTCCAACCAAGATTCTAAGATTTTTGCAGCTGCATAATTTTAGGGCTTTCTGGGACCTTCTGAACCTTTCTCACCTGACCAGACTCCCAGTCCTATGGACCTCAGAGCTGCTCTGGCCTCACATACCCTGAAAATGTGTGTGTGTGTGTGTGTGTGTGTGTGTGTGTTCACATGGCTTCTTTCCCAGCTCTTAAAACCTTGCCAGGACTCACTGCTTTCTTTCCTACAACAAATAATCATCATTATGGATTGAATTAACTGGAAATGAGGAGAAAGAGAGAGAGAGAGAGAGAGAGAGAGAGAGAGAGAGAGAGAGAGAGAGAGATTGAGGAGATAAGGGAAAATAAGTTGATTTCTTCCTTCTCTTCCAGATATGACGTCACAGCTCTTCTCCCCTGTGGACCTTACCCAGGTCATTGTCAGTGGGAACCGGTCCCTGCCCAGCCGGCAGCACTGGCTGTTCAAACACCTGTTCTCACCTCAGCAGGCAAACCTGTGGTGCCTTTCCCGTAAGTATCCTTAGACCCTGTCCTCCTGCCTCCTGACCCTGTGGCCAGGCGTCACAGCCCAGGTTAACAACCGGAAAAACAGAGAAGGTCAAATTCAGTGACAAACTCCCAGGTCACTGCAACGTTACCACCGTGGTCGATGCAAAGAAAGGACATAACACCCATCTTCAAGATGCTCACACTGTAGTCAATTTCTACTCTGCTCCCAAACCCATTCCATCCATCCATCCATTCTTCCTTCCTTCCTTCCATCCATCCATCCATCCATCTATCTATCCATCCATCCATCCATCCATCTATCTATCCATCCATCCATCCATCCATCTATCTATCCATCCATCCATCCATCCATCTATCTATCCATCCATCCATCCATCCATCTATCTATCCATCCATCCATCCATCCATCTATCTATCCATCCATCCATCCATCCATCTTTCCATCCTTCCTTCCTTCCATCTATCCATCACCCACAGGCATAACCTATGTCCTGGGTCTTGTGCTTGACCTTGGGGATGAGAAAAACACACACAAATATGCCCGTCAGAGAGCTCACGTAGACCAGGGGCAAAATATAACATGGGAACAGCAGCGGGAGATCATCCACGGAGCTCATAAGGTTTGACCGTCCAGTGGCCTCTGGACTGAAGGCCCTGGAGGTCTCTGAGCTGGTCCTGTGTAGATCCGGTAGAGTTTTACCCTCTCTCCTCCTGGACTGCGCACCCCTCACCCTATTAGACTCTGCCTCTATTTGGAGCCACATGGACCCCCTGTTTTGTACACGACCCTCTCCCCAGCTATCAGAACCCGGTGTTTTCCTTGGGCCTTCCCGACTGGACAGCCCTGACTGTCCTGGGCATGTGCCTGCCTGGAAAGACCCCTCGGAGGCCTGTCTTCTCAGAAGATCCTGCCGAGGTCACGGTCCCTGAGGCCTCCCAAGCACTGAGCCCGCTGCTCCCTTGCTGCAGGCTGTGCCCAGGAGCCCTCGTTCTGTCAGCTGGCCGAGATAAGAGATAGCGCGCCCTCGTACTTCACCTGCACCCTCTACCCAGAGGCCCGGGTGTGTGAGGATGTCCTGGAGCCGCGTCCCACGGGCTGCAGGCTGATCCTGCCCCGCAGGCCGAGCGCCCTGTTCCGGAGGAAAGGTGAGTGCTCCGTGGGATGGGCGGAGACGGCGTTTCCAGTGGGCGGAAGTAGCCAGTCCAGTCTTCCTTTGATAAAAACAGACTTATCCGTGCTCCTTACGGAGCAGTGACACCATTCACAAAGGCACCCAGTCGGCTGTAGAGAACAATCCTGCCCTGGAATGCCGGCCTCAGAGAAGCTAGTGCTGATACACGGAGCAGTTAGATCCCACCAGGCTGCATGTTACAGAAACCCCACCCACAGTAAAAAAATTAATTTCAGAGAGAAAAGGGAAGGTAGAGAGAGATAGAAACATCAATGAAGAGAGAGAATCATTGATTGGCTGCCACCTCACGCGTCCCCCCCCCCCCCCGCCCCAACACACACACTGGGGATCAAGCCTGCAACGCAGGCATGTGCCCTGACTGGGAATCAACCGTGACCTCCTGGTTCATAGGCCCATGCTCAACCACTGAGCCACGCCCACTGCTGACACTCTTTTTTTTGGAAAAATTTTTTTCACTCGACACAGTCTCCATTTCTTCCAAGACGTTATCTTTATTGACTGTTCTTTCATCTTTGCTGGAGGCCTTTCTCCGATAGCTGATGGCCTTGGTTTTCCACTCAATGTAAGAGAAGGGCCCAAAGTTGATCAGGAAGCTCTCAGTGAGCAAGGGAGCTTGTTGACCTGAGATTTGCCTGGAGGGTGATCTGGTGGGGCCACCCTTTGGGGTCCCTCATGTCATGATTTTTAGGTCCTGCCCATAGAGGAACCTTAGCATTACCTGGCCTGGGGCATGAAGCCTGGTGCTGTTGGTTTGGATCCCAAATAAGGTTGGGAGGAAGTCTCGGTATTCACCACGTGCATTGACTGGAAAGACTCCTCCGGTCTCCGGTGCTGCGCCCACCATCACTCTCCCTGGGGCACCCGAGACACTCCCACCTTTGTCCTCTTTAGAAAATGAGGCGTCCGTCCACTGTCCTGTGTTGGGAAGAGGGCGGAGAGCAGAGGCAGGCAGGAGCAGGAGACTAATTGCTTCCCGCAGAGATTCCGTGCCCATCCTGCTTTCGCCCACCCCGCCCACCGGTGCCGCCCTCAAACCCTTTGGGATTCCGGCAGGTGGACGGAGTGGTTTCTTGCTTCTTCCCTCAGAAAAGTCCTACATGCTTTGAGGTCTACTCACTCAGTGTTGTGCTCTGCCTGTGTGTGTGCCAGCTTCCAGGATGGCGTTGCTATGTCCCCTGTCCCGGCCTCGTGGTCTTTGTGCCAGTGTTATTGCTGTTGGGGTGGGAGTCGCACCCTCTTCCACTGGAAGCACCCAGCCTGCTCTGTGCACCTTCATCCTCATACTTTTTCGGACCCGGCAGATCTCTCCCTACCTGATATCATTGTTTCCTTCCCTGCGCAGTTGTTCTGAAAGAGACAGTGACGAACTTTTACACCCGCCTGCCATTCCAAACGCTGACCGGGATTTCCATTAGAAGCAAAGTGCCCATGTCCGACAAGTCCATCTCCAACGGGTAAGCTACGTCGCCCGCCCCATCCCGCTGGGATAGTTATTCTAAGGCACCTGTATCTGCATCCGAAAGAAGGGGATATCTATCAGTTAAAGGCTCACGCAGAATAAAACCTGAAGCTCAAGGCAGAGGTTGATAAAGGTAATAAGAAAGCCACCATGTCTAAGGACCAGGGCTACAGTAGATGACTAATGGCAAACGCGAAATGTAGCCTGGACCTCCCATCAGCTGATGCAACAGGAAATGCAAAAGGACAGGAGTCACGTCTTATCAATGAATGACAATGATCAGACAGACGCTGTAATGAACTTGATCACAAAGCCTCACTGTGCTCTGTTCAGAATCTGGAGAGCAAATAGAACTTCTAACAGGACCACAGGCTTGTATGGACTTTGGGTTTATTTTGTTTCGTTTTTTTAGAAACGCTTTTTGCTGCTGTTGCTAGTGGGCTGTTGTATAGCTGTTTTCACTGAAGACGATGCTTCTCTGGGCTTAGCCTCTGGTTCTGACCCGTCAGAATCAGCAGGACTTTTCACCACCCACATTCCCTGGGCCTGCTGAGCCAGCATTGCTGGGGGTGGGGTTCAAAAATCGGAATTTTAAGTAAGCTTCCCCTCTAAAGTGCTTTTGTACTTTAGCATCAGGGCATTTTCCTGTGAACTGTTGAGCTGAGAAGTGTCGTTAGTTTGTAAAACGGTGTTGTTGGCATTTAAGATCTGCTTTGGAGAAAGGAGACAAAAAGGTGATAGGATGTAGTCTGTCTGGAGATGGGGCTGAGGACACCACCGGTGCTGAGGGGAGGGGCCAGAGAAGCAGGGCGGAACCCAGGATCAGCCTGTCCCTGGTGTGGGAAAGGGCTGAGGGACTCGGAGAGGGTGTGTTGGTGGGAAAACACATGATCCAGGCTGGAGAAGTGGTGGGTGGGCACCGGGAAGGAACTTGGGTGGAGGAAGCGCTCAGGAATCGGGAATGAGCGACCTGAATTGGGACATATGGTCGGGCAGAGGGAACTCCGAACTGAGCCCAGAGCAGTGGTTTGGAGCCACTACGTTCCTTCTGGTAGCACTGGAGGGTGGGGGCCAGGAGCCACACTGAGTAATCAAGCAAAGGAGGTCCTGACTCACCCGACAGAGGCGTGTCCCGGAGGGAGATTAGCCCGCGGTGGAGTGGGTAAGGGGGGACACTGCTCTTTGCCACTTCAACAGGCACCTGATTGGGTCACTCCAACT